AAGAATTTACAATTAGTGGCTAGAGCAGTGCATCAGATAGGATGGATGAGTACGAGTGGCTAAACAATGTGACAATAACTTACTGCCCCATGCGTTCTCCATTCTACCCAACTTTTCAGTTTCATACAATTGCAAAGATTAAGAGTCCCCCTTAGAACACCAATCATACATAAAACTGCAGTAGACAAACACAAAGGAACCTAAATCTACCACCCTCCTTTTCTGATTGGTAGGCACAGAGGGCCCCTAGTCTAGCTATTTTAGCAAAATTGAGCTGACCCAAAAGGAGTAAGTCACAGCGCCTCACAGTGTGGACACAGGTAACAAAATATGTGATTTTGGCACCAAAAAATTTGGTACAAAAACCACATATTTTGGTACCAATAAATTTTGGTACAAATATGTGATTTTCTTACCAAAATTGTACTTCCAAATCTCACAGAGTATGCCGCTAGGAGTCCCCGACCCAAAATAACTTGACCTAGACCTAGACCTAGACCTAGACCTAGCTAGGTATCTTGATTTTGACCAGAACTAAGCCAAGCCTTCAGTTTGGCAATGGTTGGACCTTACAAGATATAAATTCCAGAAAACACAACATGTTTTCTTCAGAGCCATGTAATATAGCTATATAAAAATCTCAAGGCTCCAGACAGAAAATTGGATTTGGACTAAAGTTGTGAGAGTGGAACTTGACACACAAGCATACAAATCAAATACCACGTAGATATGATGCAGTATTCAAGTACCAAAAATTTAGGTAAATCAGAAAATATATATATATATGTTGGTTATTATATAATTTCATACAGTCAATTACATTTTTTTTTTTAATGATTTGTGCTCCACCAATTCAAGGGCATATGTTAAGAATAAGACAAAACACAGCATACTTACTATTTTTTTTGGAGTGCCATTTTTCTATGCTTCCATACCAATTCCATTGAAAAAACAGACCAAGAAGGCGTACAGGACTAGCAGCAATAACTTCTAGAAATGCCATCAAATATGATCTCTGTGGAGATAGACCAGCAGTAGCTATAGACAATAATTCACCCTCAATGTTGCAAGGGATAATAAAACTGCCTTTTTTAATGCCATCTATGGTTTTCTTTGCAACTTCATCAGCTTTCATCATTCCTGAAGAACCTGCTATTATGCTTGTCAGCTCAGGCTTCCTTCTGTTTTCTGCAACAGAATTCAAGGTGCAAGGAAGGTGAGTTGTTAGACATACAGTTGTCGATATGTCCAATAATGGAACCATAGTGTGTTTTAGACATGAAAGGCCTTATTACCAAATCAATTCTTGAATGCTACATTTTAGACTGGGGGATTATATAAGCAAATGACAGTCTTATACTTTGGATTTCACAAGTGATGCAAATTCACCACCAAGTGTTTGCACAGCATATGAAACCTAACTCCAAAGTAGTTTCTAGGGATGCTAGGGATCCAAAGTGTAAAGGAAACCAAAATTTTCAACAATAGTCAAAACACTTGCTGGCCTCAGTGAATAACTAAAAGTCTAAAACTATAGAAGAAATGCCCAAGATATGATGCCATCTTGGAGTTGGACACAGAAGAAATATCTCTTAACATCATGTTCAGGCATTACTTAAGTTAACCGAAAAAACGGTCACCAAATTGCACACCATTATCTTGGTCCAAGGATGTAGAAGCATATAAAGTGAGGCTGAACATGATGCATACATGCAATAAACTAGGTCCAAGGATGTAGAAGCATAATCTAACTATTTTTGCAAGCACTGCACTATATTTTGTAAGGATTGGAAATGAAACAGATAACAAGATGGAAGGAAACTGTATTTTAAAATATACTTGTAAATTGAAGAATAATCTTAGGAAGTTGAGACGCGTGTGCACACACACGTGACAACAAAGTCAAATGTGGCTACCGTTTCACAAAAATAAAATAACAAAGAATATTCAGCACTACTTGAGGTGAGTCCATGATGCAAAGAAGCACGATGATTATGGATCATGACAACAAAATATTCTTCACAAAATTATAGAGGATTATTGGATAGAACATTTTAGTTATTAATAACAAACTAGTTCTGTAAACCTTAATTTCTGAAACAAGAGAGAACTGCACCTAAATCAATTTCAGCAAAATATCCGAAAAATTAAAGCAGAAAATAAAACTCTATCTAATCATACCTTCTTCCAAACCAGGAGTGTCAGTGTCTGGAGGAAAGATCAGTGACACATGTATATCATCTGCAATCACTTCATGCTGCAGTGCTTCTGCCAGGCCCCGGAGTGCAAATTTACTAGCCGAGTAAGCCGTGTAACCATAAATACCCACCTAGATGAAAGAATAATAACAAACTATAAAACAAAGCATGAGCCATTTTAACTTCAATATGTCACAACCATAATGCAAGAATATAATTGACCTAGAAACAAAGCAAAAGCAACATGACAAGTACGAGTTTTAAGCCTTAATAAAGAAGTATATCTATCAAAGGCTATACTTTACACCAGAGTGTTTATGCTGCTACTACTCAGAACCTGGTTTTATTGCATCCTCTGGAAGATAATCTTTACCCACCCACCTAGTTTTTTTAAAGCTAATATTTGCCAATGTGATCCGCTTCCATAATAATACTGGTGGATGGATTGTGCCAAGCTAATATTGGCCAGGAATTGTTTGGGTTTTCTGTCAATCAGACGAGAGTCGAAACAAGAAAGGGGGCACCATTGCCTTGCTCAATCTGCTCATTATGCTGAAGTTTGGCTCAATCTATGGCAAATACATAGGTTCAAAATTGTAAGCTGTTTAGGAATGATGTTTTAGGGGATTGCGAACAAAGATGTCTGCTTGCACCAGTGGAGGAGGTCAAACGCATTGGCAAGATCTTCCAATGGTGTGTTGTGCTAAAAGTGGATAGAGCTGAAGTTAGGAAGGTTCATGTTGTAGGTAATACAACCCACTCTACCCTAATAATCTAACATTGTTTTCTAAATCTATATACTAGCTTGTTTTCCCTTATCTAAAAAAATGGGATAACTTCATCAGTCAATTTCTGGTGTTACAGGCAGAATAAGGCTTACAAAATTACTTCGAAGTCTTACAAAACTGGTTAATTTATTACACTATGCACCTGGAAAAGGTCAACAGTAACAACACCACTAACAGATTGCTTTGCATAGCTTCAATTCACAAAGAATTGACCAACAATAAGGTTCATCTAAATTCAGTAAAAGGAAATCAAATCAATATTGTGCGAGTTTAACAATGAAAATTAACAATCAATGTCAATTGTTAATTTCTTATGTACTTATATACAGCATTTTGTATGCAGCAATTACGTGGATACCATCTAGCTTAGTTAGTATAGTCTACCCATACCAAATTCCGTTTATATCATTATCCTTTTCGGTACCATTTTCCCAAAGCTGAACTTTTCCACTGTCAATATCACTTTATGACAATAAATTGTAAATCTAATTTAAATTATCATCCCTGCACCTCAAATTACAGAGTACAATACACCACACTATCAACTTCAATTATCTTGCAATCAACCACGAACAACATCAACTAAAAATCAACACCAATCGACACGTGATTCGTACTCTCGTACCATTTAAAGAAATATATTTAATGCTTATATATATAGTCGGCCCGAAAAGATAATCTAACCTGACCAGCTTGAGACGACATGATAGCAATCGAAGCCGGACCACGAGACTTACGATCTTTCTTCATCAATGGCAAAGCAGCTTTAATCAAATGAAAAGTCCCCATAACATTGACATCAAACATAAACTTAATTTCATCCAAACTCTGAAATTCCAACTCCTGAGGATAAAAAATCCCCTGATTACAAATCAAAACATCAATGGGCCCCGCATCTTCAACCGCCTTCTTGACGGCATCGAAATCCCTGACGTCAGCACTGAATATGCTGACGTCAACGCCGGTGGAGAGCTGGATCGCCTCCTTCGCGGCTTCGAGCTTACGGTGGTCCCGCGCTAAGATGGAGACACGTGCACCGTGGGATGCGAAGTGGTGAGCTAGGGATAAGCCGATGCCGCTTGATCCGCCGGTGATGAAGACGTGGCGGTTTTTGATTGGGATTGTGATTGAGCGAGGGCGAACGACGAGGTAGAGGATGAGGAGGAGAGAGAATGGGAGGAGGAAGAGGAGAGAGAGGAGGATTGTTGTTTGATCCGCCATTGTTGGAAAGCTTTCTTTTGCTGATAGTGCGCTTGACTGCTTGTTTTGAAAAATGGTGGCTTAAGTTTTTCATTGGAAGCCCCATTTAAAATCGGGATAATGAAAAAATTGCCAATTACAACTGAAAAAATATATTTTACGGGTTACAAGTTTACAACCATGTTAGTTGATTTTTGCAATTACGATAAAAAAGTCACCCAATAATCCAACATATTAAACTATAACTAAAATTCGATTTTCGACTACTTTCACCGAAATTTAACTCCGTTATATAACGGAGTAGATGAATAATGATGTTATATTCTGATGAAAGTAGTCGGAAATCGAATTTTGGTTGCAGTTTAAAATATTGTGTGACTCCTTTGATTGTAATTTGGAAAAAAATAAAAATGGTTGTAACCCGCAAAATGACTACTTTTACCTGTTATAATTGGCAAATTTTCTATGTTGGTGCAAAAATGGGTAAAGCCGCTGATTCATCTCAAAGGGGGTAAAATTTATTTGAAAAAATTAAAAAAAAAAAATTTTAAAAAAAAAAACTCAAGGAGTAAAATTGGTTTTGACTTGAAATGTGCCGATTTTACCCCTTCTGATAAACCTGGATTTTTTTCTTTTCAATCACAAAAATATTCTAAGATTACAGCATGTGTCAAGCAAACACTAAGACTAGTTATCTATTTTTTATTGTGCGATGGATATCATACTTTGTTTGCTATTGCATCATGTTTTTGTTAGAACCTTGGACATAAAGATTAAGTAAAATGAAATATTCTGCACTTCCAAATAAACAGAATTAAGCTTTCAATTCAAATGAATACTGCTTATGATCATTGTTTTAAGCATGACATTAATTACATTGTAAAAAGGTCTGTAACGCCTTAATCGACTACAATTAGAATTAGAAAGGTAAAAAAAATAAGTTGCCACGGAATCTTCACCATAAGACTCTCCTCCTATGCTTAATCTTGGCTTCTATCTGATCTACAATTAAATCTAATGGAAGCATACTTATCGGAATCATGACATGCACAAGCTTGTGCCAAGAGTAGCTCATACTAGAGATAAACCCCTGATAAATTTTTTGTTTATCTGAAGGAAAGGCAGCCTCTTGATTCTCAACTAAGCAGAAACTAGTGGCATGCTAAACAGTCAAAGAAGTCTTTGTTTCCCAGTGACAGAATCCACAGAATCCTTTCGTCCTGCAAATTGATACAAACAAAGGTCCCGTAAGTCAGAAGTCCAAAATTTTTAACTGAAATCTCCTTCCATCCTGAACAAATTTTGCAATTCCAACTGCAGTGCATTTTACAGAGATAATATTCTTGGATGTCCCATAAAGGGGCAAACTAGAAAAGCTTATCATCAGAACAATTGGGCTAGCTTCTGTGTATTTAATTTGAGTTTAATGTAAATCAAGTACTCAGGGACTATTGGTCTATTGCCAAGAAACCATGGTTAATGTTAAGTAGTTTATGAAGAATTCCTTTATTCTCTAAGTACTAAGTGCAGATATGCATAGACAGCAGCCACACTTATTGTGGGAATGAAATAGCTTTTAAAATAAAGCCGTCAGAAGTAGAGGAAATCAAACATACCAGGTCCAATTGCAAGTACTGTCTTTGAACCAGCCGCAACCTTCAGCAAAAAGTAATCAAAATATTAGTGATACATGAATCTATCATTCTAAGTCTTAGATATTGTTTACAGGAAGTCAAAATGGCATTATCTGCTCAAAGAAAAGATCCAGAGAAGATGAAAGAACAGGAGACTCCGATATTCCTCACAAAATGAAGATACCTTCGGAATATATGTGCTGAGTAATCTATCACAGAAAATTACACTCTGTATTACCTTTCCCTTCTCTCTTATCTTCTCTACGGATCCCCCCCCCCCCGGCTCCTTTAATGTAGTGAACTAGTGACATTAGTTCAGAACAGGGAAGCATTAAGAATAGGTTACTATGAACAGGAAATCGCTGAATTGGATGTATATTTACTACTATTAAGACAGTTTTTGTTAATGATGCTTCAGTTTTGACAAGGACAAAAAAAAAAAAGAGTGCTACCTTTCTCAATTTTAGCAAGCTTCAGGTATGAAATGTTACATTTCTCAGCCAAACTGAGCAACATGACAGACAACTTATCCAGTTCCAAGATAATGAGGAGATAGGCTTATATAATGGTCCCTCAGATTTCAGTAACTTAGACTACATATATCAATTGTAGAGTGGGCATCTACCTGGGATTGCAACAGAAATGGAGAAGGATACAAAAAGATGAAGATTTAGACTGAAAAAGGCATTAATAATGAAAAGGCTTGGGAGAGGAATCCTAAAAATCATCTCTATACGAAAAGTTCATCACCATTTGAGTTTCATTACATTTAAGCAAAAAGTCAAAACCTGTAGAAATTAAATTTTTTTGATGTTTGCAGCAATACTAAAATGGTGATAAACTTTATGAGTACCCTATATATTGGATTCTTATTTCCTAATTTCTATCTCTTCATGAATACCTAATTTTCTCCTTAAAATACATGTTGAAAGCCACTGCAACTTGGACAAATTTAATGTATTTCCTGTTTTCAACTCAGTGTAAACCCTACTGATGCATTTACTTACATGCTTCTACTACTAAAGAAGCCTGCACTGTAAATAACTAAATATTGTATGTCATCAGAAAATCAGTCCAGAAAATTGACAGCTGAAGCCACAAAGTGGCATAAGAATAAATTCAATCAATCAAAGCCTTAATCCTATAAGTGGGGTTGGAAAAAAAAAAAGGGAACGACGAGGAAAACGTAAGAAAGGTTGAAGTATATAATCAAGCTCCTTGCGTCAATAAAAATTACAATAGGAAAGAAGTGATACGAAGAGGACAAGGAGGACCAAATACTGGGAACTGTTTCTTCAAGCAACAGAATAACTGAATGGATTACAAAACCATAATTAACGAAAGAACTATTACATTAAGAATATTTATAGTAGCCTATAATTCTTATAAAAGAGGCATACCTGTGTGCGCCCGGCATCTGCAACAACAAAAGTTGGAAGTCCAATGTTCTCAGCATCTTGCTGCAACTTATTCCTAAATCAAGATACAAAATTTGTAAATGCTGCTGAGACAATGAAAGCCTGACAAAGAATAACAGCACATACTTACATTTCTTTTTGATTTTTGCATGTCACTACTATTTTAGCCTGCCCACATTGCTCCCACTGCCTCAATAGGGAACGCTGACTACAATAGATATAGTTAGTGCCCACTTTTGAGAATAATAGCATCAAAGCTTAAAGAACCACACTATAGCATCAAAGCATTGCTTACATCTTCCAGATCAATAGGGAACTAGGAGAGTTCACCTTTAAATACTCCTTGCAACAAGCAGTCCGAAGTACAAAATACACCAAAATATATTCATAATTTCATACTACGTATAATGTAAATAATCATACATTTTGCTCTGAGAAGCTAAACAAATGCAGCTCATAAATTTAATAGAAACTAACATATGTCAAGTTACTCGTATAAGATGTAAAAAAACAATTGCAGGTCAAGATACTGTTAATTCTCTTTGGCTTGCAGTGAATTAGGTTTAAAAGAAAAAGTAACATTCGGATAACATGTGCAATTGATTTTATATAGGAGATGATAACAGGATAGGGCATTATGGCGAAAAGGGAATGAAAGTACATTAGAAAGTTAAACAACACAATCAAACTTTCTGCTGAAGAAGGATGTTAGTCAGCTGATAATTTGAGATAGCGGACAGTACCTTTGCATCAGCTCAGCATACATGCCTGTGGCAGCATCTGAAATAACAGAAACTTATCAGGAGACGACAAAGGCAAAAAAGGAAGAAAGTGGGTTGATCTCCAGTTACAATTAAAAAAATTTAATCTTACGAGCACATTGAGCTGCAATCTTCCCATGTCCCATTTTCAGATCTTGTCTAACCACCAAAACCTGTAATCAACATCCTCAACATAAAATTAACATACACATATTACAAAACGAACATGATATAGAACCCATGCTAGCTGTTTGGTCTCTAAAACATATTTAAATGTCAAATGCCAGGATATTATGGAAGGTGTATAATTAAGCCTAGTGATTATCCTCCTACAAGGAATTTTTATCGAATCCACCAAAGCAGAAAATGTCCTATAACAATACCATGAAGAATCACATATCAAAAAATGTCTACAATAGGATACTGAAACTGAAATTAAAATTCAACCAAAAAATTTCACTCTATATTCTATACAAAATATCATATATTTAACAGTGGAAAGTAAAGTCCATGACACTCTTCCTGAATTCACCTCCCATGTTCAACTATTTAGGAAAATCTGTTAAATAATTCATGAATTTAACACACAACCTTTAAACCCCTATTCAAGTACATTATACACATCAAGCACTATCCTTTCTGCTAAACTAGCCCAAATTCTCTTCAATCACAAATTTAACCACAAAAAGGGCTAAATAGAAAAACTTCATGATTAGCAAAAAAAAATAAAGGACCCAAAAAGGCATTCTATATGATAAATTGATAACACAAACAAACATTTCATAATTCATCATATTACACATTATAAGAGCCGACAAAAATTGACATGACACGATAACCCAACCCGAACCTAATTCGAATACTGAAATACCTCCACAACTTGACACTAGGATAGAACATAGCAATCACAATTCACAATTTCATTTTAGCAAGAAATTAAAGTATTCTGGAAAGTACCATCTTAAATTCTTCATCTGGGTTGGCTGAAGTTAAGGAATTCTTGGTTTGGTGTAAAGATTTAGGTGGGTTTTTGGAGGGTTTAGCTAAATCAAGAAGAAACCCAAAAATGAAACCAATAACAACACCTGGGATGAAGTTTTCTGGCCTGAAACTCACTCCTATCCCTTCTTTCTCCTCTCTATCATTTTGCTGCTGCCATTAATTACACAATTTGTTAGTAAAATTAAATTTTAATTACCGAATAAAAACAATTAAGGGAAAAATTAAAAATTTCTTACTTTTCCAAGTGGAATTGAAAAGTTCATATTCACAATTTGGTTTTTGCAGGTTTCAATTTCAGGGTGTGAGTGAGGAAGATTAAGTGATAAAAAACTGAAATTTAGCGAGCTATTATATTTAAAGGTATATATTAATTAGTTACGAACGTATTACTAATGAATCCGTTGTAGTCTAGTTGGTCAGGATACTCGGCTCTCACCCGAGAGACCCGGGTTCAAGTCCCGGCAACGGAATTATTGTTTTGTTTTTTTTTTAAAATTTTGACAATTTTTGGGAATAAAATGTAACGGGATTTGCCTTTTGGAGGCTCTATTCAAATTTCAGAGTCTCTATATTTGATTTAAACTAGAAAATACTCGTGCTAAAGCACAGGATTGTTAATCATATACATTTTCAATTTTTATTACTCCGTATTATTTTATATTAGTATTTATTGTATTTTTAGGGTCGGGAAGTTACTGTATTTGAATGTGAGGATGATGGTAGAAGTTATGGCATAAGTGATGATATTTAAAAAATTTATCACTCATACATGATAATGTTATCAATGGAAAAATCATGTCATATTCTTACGGGGCGTTTGGTATGTGGAAATGGGATCAATGGAAAAATCATGTAATATACTTACAGGGCATTTGGTATGTGGGAATGGGAGTTGGGAGAATAAAGAGTGGGAATTGGTGGTTGGTAATTGGTGAAAATATGCCAATTACCTTGTTTGGTAATAAAATGGGAACTAGTATTTAGCCCGTGCGATGCACGGAATCATCTTTTTATCTAAATATATGTATTTAGACTTTTTTTTTAATCAAAAATCTTTTTACAAAGATAATAAAAAAACATTTGTAAATACAAAACGCACTTTTTTATTAAATATATATGTAATACTACGTACATAAATGTAGTGCAATATATTCTTAACAGGAAAAAAAAAATACATCATATCATATGTAACATTAAGTAATACAAATTGCATTAAGCAAAAAAGTAACTCTGCCAACAAATAAAATTTGGTTTTGCCTATTTATTTAAAATTTTAGTAAAAATAATATTAAAAAACACACAAAGGGTTTATACTCCATACAAATAATTTAATTTATCACAATATTTATATATAATTGGGATAAATTGTAAAATTGCAAATTGAAAAAAAAGAGGAAGTTAAACATAGAGAAAACAAACCTTTTTGTGACAAATTTTATGAAAGTGTGAAACTGATCGATACAAAATTTGGCCAAACTGTCTTATAAAATCGACTCAATTCCGGTGTAAGGTTGTATAATTCAAATTAAAAAATACTTTGTAGGAAGAAAGGAAATCAACTCAATTGCGGTGTAAGGCTGTATAATTCAAATTAGAAAAATAGGAAGGAAAATAAATTTTTGACATGCAAAACTGGGGAGAAAGAAGAGAATTTCTAAGTTATAATGACTATCATTTGGGATGAGAGTTGGAAACTGAAGTTTTTAGTAACTATTATTGGAGGCTATTAAAATTCATAATAAACATTGAAAGAGTTTTCCTAAATAAATAAATAAATAAATAAACATTGAAAGAGTACATTTATCCAAGGAAATATATAGAAAACTAATTAATTATATGATGAAAAGACATAAATGAAAAGGTTTCATTTAAATTAATTTAAAAATATATAAAAATATGTAACTACAAATGGATATTAGGGAGATGCCACATGGCACTTTGTATGACTTGTAAAAGTTCCTGTTTTAATAAAATATTAGTATAGATGTGTAGGCAATAAATAACTCATTTACCGGAATACCCTTATTAACATTTCTTCACACACCTTTTCATTAATGGCAATATTGTCATTTTATCCATCTTCCATTTCACGGGAATTCAAGCCTTTTATTCCCAATTCCATTCCCTTTTCACAATCTCATTCCCATCAAACAAACATGAAATTTTATGATAAATGGGATTTAAATTCCCATTCCCATCTTCTATTCCCACTAACCAAATACCCCCTTAATTTTATTTTGACATTATGAAAATTGAATTGAAAGAAGGAAATATTCATTTTGCAACTGAGTACTGACACCACTTTGGATTGAATTAATTAAAAGTTGCTAGTTTTCTAATAGTTAAACTTAATCATATATATATATATATATAAATTCAAAAAAAAAACTTAAATGTATATTTTCTTTAAAAAAAATAAATAAATAATAAAAAAAAAAATTATGTGGATATCTTCTTGGTTTAAATTCAAATGTTAAACAAATACAAATGGAATCATAGAAGTTTCCTGAGAATCTTCTTCAATACTCACTACTAGATTAAATTGGGAATGAACTGTTAATCAATCCTTTAACATGAGATATAAATTAGAGATTAAATTATGTGCACCTGATAAATCTGAAATCGTAGTGAGTGATGAGACCATGATTCTGATGTAGATCGAGTTCCCGTTTAGGGTGTATTGTTATGATGGCTAAAGTGAGGATGAGACTCACTAGAATAGAGAGGGAAAAGGGAAGCGTAAAATTGGTGTATTCACCTCTGTCTCATGACCTCTATATATATACACCCAAGGGGAAACCCTAATCAGGCCGTAAGGATAATTACGTCCATCAAATAATTATCAATTAAATACGCAGGATATTTATAAGGTCAATGATCAATTAATTAGATAAATGATAACTGAGGCCACATAATAAAATCGTGTCCTACATTCTCCCACTTAGCCGAGTAATCATTTATGATGAGTACTAGATAAGTCCGATCAGATTTTAATACCCATTTTAGTTCTAAACCGGAACTTGCAGCAGAGAAATACAGTCATTGAATTGATATTCAACTCAAGACCCCCATTAATCATGCTACAATACCAAATTTAAAACTTAAATAAGCTAAGGATCAAATTGACAATTAAGCCCTCAACATTAATTTGTATATAAATGTTGTCTTCATGTCTTTAGGCATGCATAGACACATTCAGAGACGAACAAAACAAAACAATGAGGAAATTTTATTATTAAATGTAAGTAAGTATAATATGCAACTAAATAAGGTCTTTAGAAAACCCCATCTTCGAAATATGTTCTTCGAAAATTTTAGGAGGTAGACCTTTAGTCATCGGATCCGCAAGCATATTCTTAGTACTTATATGCTCAATACAGAGTTTATTTTCCTCAACTCGCTCACGTACGAACAAGTACTTTGTATCAAGATATAAAGCAGCGCCAGTCGAACTGTTACTGTTCGAGAAACTAACGACGGCTGAGTTATCACAGTAAAGCTTCAATGGTCGAGAGATGGAATTAACCACCTTGAGTCCAGTGATGAGATTTCTAAGCAACATCCCATGACAGGTTGCGTTGTACACCACAATGTATTCTGCCATCATTGTAGAAGTTGCAGTCAACTCTTGCTTATGACTCTTCCACGAGATAGGTCCACCAGCTAACATAAAGATATACTCTGAAAGTGGATTTCTTGTCATCTTTGCACTTAGCAAAATCAGAATCAGAATAACCAACCACTTCTAAATTATCACTTCTTCTGTAAGTCAGTTTATAGTCTTTCGTCCCTTGTAGATATCGAAGAACTTTCTTAGCTGCTTTCCAATGATCAAGGCCAGGATTAGTCTGATAACGGCCTAACATTCCAGACTTGTGCATACATAAGGCTTCCAACTACTGACGCATAAGGTATCATTCTCATCTATTCTTTTTCAACCTCTGTTTGAAATAAACCGAAAACATCTCCCTTAACTACTGGAGCTACAGAAGGAGAGCAATGTTGCATGTTATAACGTGTAAGAACACGCTCGATGTATGCCTTTTGAGATAATCCCAAAATACCATTGACTCTATCTCGGTGTATTTCGATGCCAATAACATAAGAAGCCTCTCCGAGATCTTTCATGTCAAAATTACGCGAGAGTAAGCGTTTAGACTCATGCAACATGTCTAAACTATTACTTGCCAATAGAATGTCATCTACGTAAAGGACAAGTATAGTAAAGTTGCTCCCACTCATCTTCAGATAGGTGCATTGATCCACTTGGTTCTTTAGGAAACCTTCTGACTTCAAGACTTGATGCAACTTTAGGTACCATTGACGTGATGCCTGCTTCAACCCGTATATGGATTTTTTCAGCTTACAGACTAGGTGTTCTTGACCTTCAAATTTGAAACCGTCGGGCTGTTTCATGAACACTTCTTCATCCAAATCGCCATTAAGAAAAGCGGTTTTGACATCCATCTGATGTAGCTCTAAATCAAAATGAGCTACAAGGGCCATAATGATCCTTAAGGAATCCTTTCGAGAGACAGGAGAAAAAGTCTCTTGATAGTCAATTCCCTCTTTCTGAGTGTATCCCTTTGCAACCAATCTCGCTTTGTAGCGTTCAATGTTTCCATTCGGATCTAGTTTTGTTCTGAAGACCCATTTACACCCTACGGGTTTTACACCGTTGGGTAATTCAACCAAATCCCAAACACCATTTTTCTTCATGGAGTCAAGCTCTTCAATCATGGCTTTATTCCATTCAGAAGACTGATCACTGCTGATTAGGGGATTTTTATCCACCAATCACCGTCTAAAAAGTGGACCAACCAGGTTCCGCCACGTGTCCTTCGCGTAGGCCAATAGGAGCCTGCCACGTGTCAATCACAGATACGTCCTCTACGGACCAATTGAGACACGCCACGTGTCCACCCATGCCAAATGGGAAAACCGGCCAACAAGGCCCAATCCTGTCTAGAGGCCCGGTCAGCCCTAGGTTTACCCTAAACCTAGAGAGTGGCACGCTTCTCAAGACTATAAATACTTAATTAATCCTCATTAATCTAGAGATCAAGAAATCAAGAAAACATCAGGCAATTGAGAGAGCAAACATCAAGCAACTAATCTCACCTGAAGAACAGAGAAGAACAGAAACATTACGGAACACTAATAACCGGCTAATCTCGCTAACAACGCAGATTACCAACATTAAACACTCTCACCTAGAGAGATCTTATTACTTTAATTTCCGTATTTATTACTCCTTAATCAGGTACTAACTTGACCGTTGGAGGCGGAGCTCTCAGGAGTCTCCGTTATTTTG